CGCTAATTTAGTATGAAGATGTTGTTTGACAATATGAAAGGGATATGTGAAGAAAAAACTTTAAGAAATAAATTAAAAGGGAAGTATGGTGATGACATACTTATAACCTCAGCTCGTGGAAAAAAATTGGTAGTTTGTTTCAAAAACACGGGGTATAAAGTATTGACAAATGTGTGGTAAGATTCTAAAAAAAAGGATACGAAAGAAGAACGATTATTGTATTGTAGAAACAACTGCTACTATAATACGTGAAGATATCATATCAGTACCATATGATCTCGAATATTTTTCTCCGCCTAATCAGTTTTTGAAAACTGATACCAAGTACTTCACTAAGTGATCAAATCATGTTTCTAAAACCTGAAAGAGGAAAAATGGGGACCAAGTTTTACTCGATACAAACTTTAAAAGAACAATTTTAAAATATGATTCCGTATTTTATGTTTATTCACACAATAAGTGGATGCGATACCACGTTATCAATATTTCAACAAGGAAAACTGAAATACGTCGAAAAATTTCAGAAACATTCAAAACTTCAATATTCATTATTAATTTTTAATAATGAGTCATTTTCAGCTGATGATATTTTCAGTGTTAGACAAGAATTCCTTTTGAAACTATTTAATTCACCAAAATTCATTACATCGTTAATCAGTATAGATATTATGTCTTCAACAGAACCATTGCTTCAAACAAAAAACAAGTACAATTAAGTCAACTTCCACCAACAATTGATTCTGTAAATCAACACATTTTTTGAGCAAACTTGCAAGTGCAATTTTGGCGTGGCAATGTATCAAATCCAATAGATTGGGGTGGGAAAAATATGGAAATATAATAAGACCAATTTTTACCTAAAAATCTTCAGCGCCAGAATCTTTGCTGACAGTTATCAGTCGTGCCTTTACAAAAGTTTGCGAACTGACCTGTGGCTGTAGAAAGGCGAGTATAAAGTATTCAGTAATTTGTAAACATTGCCAAGGTTCGACATGTTTAATTTCTTATTTGATAATTTATGAAGATAAAGTAATATACGAAAAGACTCTTGAAGATGAGGAAGATAGTCATTATATATCTACGAAAAACCAGAAATTAACATCATTGAAGGATTAGGTATTATTTTTCAAATTTAAAATTACACATTATTTTATTTAATGTTTATATATTTGTTTTGTTACAGATGCCAACAATAATGGGATTTATCTAGATAGACTTTATGTCATATTTTATCTTACCTAGATAAATAATGCCAAGTTATATAATTACTTATCTAAAATAAAATTTTTACTTATCTAGATAATTGTCTGTATTTTTGCCAAGATTAGAGTTGTTTTTATTCTTGTACGGAGACGAATCCAACAAATCAGAGATCATCAAAATCGGTCCAGCCGTTCTTGAATTATAAATTCTGTAAATAACCTGACTTTCTTTTATACATATAGATTTTGTATTCATAATCATAATTCGTGTATTATTAATAAGTAATTATTATTTCTTGGTATGTCATTTTATTTGTATTTTCATGTCGGGAAAATACTTTTGGTATTTTTAAACTTAATTTCTTATTTTCCCATGGAAGTTCCAAATATAGTAGGTATTTGATTTTAGTATACACACGTAACTCATATGCTGAATAGTTATTACTTCACTCTTGGAACCCGTAAATTCGTAACTACTTATAAAATAATGAAAATCATCAAATTAATATTATATGGAAAACAGTATTGTTAACTTAAAATATTTTTTTATGAATTTTGTAATCATCCTGATACGTACAGAGCAATTTTCATTTTTTTTTTTTTCTGTAACATTTTAGTGATTAACTGTCATTAAATATTTTACATTATTTATAAATACTGCTTAATGGTACACTACATTACTACAATAAACATTAAACACCTAGGTACTTATTGATAATATTATTATCATAATGGCATCAAAATCTGCTAGTGGTGCTGCGAAACGCAAAATAAAAAAATAAAAAAAAATCTGTTAAGCGTATACCGAAAATTGATACATATTTAAAACAAAACCACGAAAAAACAAAAAAAGAACTAGATATTGATAATTCAGGTATTTTTTCAAATACAAGAAAAACGTTTTATAATTTCTCAAGGCTCTTGTCAGCCTAAGGGCCCATTTTCAACTGACAGTGATAATTCTAGATCATTTTCAGAAAAATTATACTATTTTACAAATCAGGCTAATATTACTTTAAAACATATATGGTTATGTTATTCATTAACTTTAAATACAATATATTGTCAATGCTGTTGGTTGTTTTCTACTCAAGATAGAATTAGTTTATCTTGGGTAACGGGAAATAATGATTGGAGTCATTTTACTCAAAATATTAAACGCCACGATAAATTAAATGATCATATTTAATGTTGTATTATATTTCATCAATGGTGCTTAAATAAAACAATTTCCGAAGAAATGGAAATATCTATTCAAAATTAATGTAACTTTTGGAGGAAAGTATAAGATCGGGTTATCAATGTCACATTAACTTTAGCCATATCCAACTTGTCTTTTAAAGGTCACCTAGAAATATAATTTAGTGAAAATAAAGGCGATTTTTTATCAATAATTACTCTTATTTCAAAATATGATACCATATTAGAAAAAACTATTCATTATGCCAGCTGGTAAGGACACAGCAAATTATTTAAGTAATATTATTCAAAATGAGAAAATTACTTTACTTGCAAATACGATATTAGAACAAATTATTTTAAGTATTAACCAATCACCATTTTTTTCTGTCATAATGGATACTACTCTAGATATTAGTAAGATTGATCAACTAAGTCAAGTTATTCGATACGTTTCGATTATTTTAGACTCTGATGGTAATCCTAAGATATTACAAATAAATGAATCATTTATTGGTTTTGTAGAAATTATTAATAGATATTTTATTTGCATAACGTAATTTCATCCTATTTTTTATATAATTGAAATTTTATAAAAATGGAAAGTGGATTTGCATAAGATTTTATAATTTTAAAATAAAAATTCTTACTTTAAATTTGAATTTATATCTATACCTAGATTATTTAGAATAAAAAAATGAAGAGGGGGCTTTTTTTAGTTTTGCACACAGGCCCATCTTTGGGATAAACCGCCACTGTCTAAATAATTTAAAAAAATAGGTTAATGTGTACATTAAAGGTAAAAAATGCACGAAATAAAGTAAATTACTCACAGTGATTAGTAAAATAATAAACTCACAGTTTTTTAGACTGTGATGCGACTCACGGCGGGTTAAGAATGCATAAAGGACAAACAGACAGAAATCCATTTATATGTATATATATATATATATATATATATATATATTATAATAATATATATATTGAGCATGACGCGAAAGGTGGTGTTAGAAAATGTTCCTTGCCCGATTGAAAATGTCTGAACGCCATTTTCTCATGAACAAGTCAGAAAACATCGAACACAAAATATTTAACAAATTGATACTACTTAAGATATAAATGTACATGATGGTGGTGATTCATTATGTAAAAGGAAATACAATTTATTGTTTTTAGTATTAACATACTTACTTATATTGGGGAAAAAATACCTATAATAAATTAGCAAATATGTTAATCGTTTAGTATTATTTTTTTTTTTTAAAGTATACAGGATGTAAAAAAGGTAATTTTTACTATAGATCTAATGTGATCTATAGCCTAGATCTTAATTTCCGTAAGTTTTTGATATTAATCTGCCCTCTTTTTTCTACATTTTTCCCATACAAATACTTACATTTTATAATAAACTATTAGATCCCGGTTCTTAATTTGTTTTCGTAAAAATTCGGTAAGATAATTTAAGCTTGACCAAAAAATCATGAAAATATAATAAAATTTCCTTGTGTATATAAATTAAATTCGAATGGCATAAATTTAAGTACAATTTTCTTCACAATTTATTTTAAAAATAAAAGGAACAATTTTTGAATTTCACAAAAACATTTCGTAAGCATAAGAAGTTTTAATTCTGACAATATCGAGTACTTTAACTACCGAAAATTACTTTAACAATTTTACCATATTAAATATTTTTATTTTTTTATAAACCAAGTGAACGAATACATTTTATGTACCATATAATATGTAGTTATACTTACTTTTTTCACTACCATTTAAATCTATAACTAAATCTTTGAAATGCAATACCGCGTTAATAATCCTGGACGGATCGAATGCAGGTTTTCTTCCAAACATTTTTTATTATAAAGGTAATACATTATTAAGATATTTAATAAAATTATATGTTTATTTCAAAATAATGTCACAAAGAAATCCAAATTAAATATTTTATACAAACACTACACTCTAATCACAGCTCATATGGTAAACACAACCTTGAAGAGCTAAGTGACTAAAATTAACTGTTATATATATAATAAACGAGTATATTATAAATACGAGTAAAATACATACTATCGGGTATTTCTTAAGATAATAAAAATAATTACTATTTTTATCCCATTGTTATCTAACGTATAAGTGTTTAAAATAGAAATAGTATGTTTGCAGTACACCTTTGTATAAATACTAATAATAAAATAATGAATATAATAATATAAGGGATTTTAAACATACATAATTCTTCTAAAAATATTTTATATTTCGTTGATATAATTCTTTGCTAATCAATAAAAGTGATAAATTGGTCGTTCAAATTCATACAAATTACGTACTAATTATAAGCATGAAAAAAATCACACGTTTCTTGATGGAGGGGCAGGATAATGGACGTAGTCAGGTGCATATTTTTAAATTGTTCATGTGGGAGGAGGTTTAAAGTTTTTCTACAAAATAATGGATTTTATAATATTATAAATAATATAATAGAGAGGGGATTAATATAATTTATTATTTTCATAGTGATAGAATCATAATGAAATATATTCCAAATGGCTGGTAAATAACACCGAATCAGCTTATCGGGTAACGTTCACGCGTTCGCGTGTGTATACTTACATCGACATTAAGCCCGTGAAATGGAAATGTCTGCGTTGTGGGTATCATCCCGGGGGAGTACCTGTAGAACTCATGGCTTCCTCTGTACCATTTGACCGATAACATTGGGGCCCCGTCCAAATCATAATTGCAGTAGAGCATGACATTTTGTCCTCTTTCCACTGCCGGCGGTATGAAATGTATGCTCACGTTGTGCAAGCTCCGGACGATATCTGAAACATCATCATGGTTCTATGAATTTGTTCTAATATATGGATTATATTGGTTTCCACAAATGCGGTTCCACGGATCATTATTGATACATTAATAATAACTAAGTCGATAACGACTTCACAACGGTCAACAACGGTTATCAACAACCGGTAAAGTCTGTTCATTTGTCAGCTTTTAGCTTCTTATGAATATTTTCTCAGGACATTATTTCACATGTAGAGCAGTATTTTATGGAAACCGTGAAAAATCATTATCAATAGCAATTAAGACAAAATAACTCTGAACACTACTTTTATTGTGTAGATGTATAAATCAGAACAATTTGACAATCGTAATTATTCTGAATATCATCAATCGTTAACGGTTATTTTTCTGCCCTTTCGAATATTCGATCACACTGAACTATGGTCCTTTACTTTACGTTAAACAAAAACATTTTTTATTTCTTTCTTCGAATCAAACGTCATTAGGTGAAACTCCATTGCATTGCATACAACTCCACCCTCTGGATACGGAGTTCTCACATAGTTACAACAATGTTAATCACATATTATTTTAATAATATTGTTCATATTGAGTCCAAAGTTAAAAGAGTAAACGGTTACTAATCAAGTATTGAATTCTAAAGATTGGATTCTCATATTTTCACAGTATAAAGAATAGTTCAATAGTTGTTCAATAATTTATTTGTAAACAAGAAGCACTCGCACACATTTATTTAAAATAAGTGTACCATGATATTTTCAAACAGCTTCATATAAGCTCATTTACACATACCGTACTATCTAGGGATCCCAGATTTATTTTTTAAAAATACGGGATATTTTAAGTCATACCAATTTTTGAAATTCTCATTGGTGTTAATTGAGAGGGGGGGGGTAAGAGGTTTTGTATTAGCAACTTTCCTCACAGTTACTAAATATACTATAAAATAAAGTTGAACACAATATTTGATACTTCAAACAAATATAAATTATAATTAAAATTAAAAACAAATAATAAGGTGACTTTACTATTTTTTTAATTTTTTTTTTTTTAATCAAATATTATTAATTATCATTTAATTTAGATATTATAGTTTATCAATAATATAAAATTTAAAAAGCGTACCGATATTAAAAAAAATAATTTTTAAAATAAGGTATATACGAAATAGACTATACAAAATACGGGACAAAAGTGTTATTTTTATACTTTTGTCGAAAATCGGGACACTATTCAAATACGGGACAATCTCGTAAAATACGGGACGTATGGGATCTTTAGTATTATCCCTACAATTATTTTAACGATGAAGCTATCCAGGTGTAAAAAAAACCAATTTGTCTAGTTCGGTACCTTGGTATTCAATGCAAATATTTACTAACAAACTCGAAACTATCAGAGAGATAGAAATAGAATAGAAACAAAATATAATAGGGGATTAGTTTAAAAGAACTACAAAATGTTGCCAGATTGACTTTTAGGAGTGGATCATAGTCCCTAGTGCGATGTCTTGTTGGAAATTATTATCGCACAGATTTATGTGTTTTTACGGTACCTCCTCGTTAACCCATCCGCTAGTTACGAACGGTATTCAAAACATTTTTGGTACGTTTCCAAACGTTTTGAACCTCTGACAAATTCATACACCACAGTACGCTTAAAAACCATAGATATTCAAAAGTTGATAATTTAATAGTTATATTGCCCAATAAGCTATCCAGGTTATTTTATTTTTAAATTTATCAATTAAAACACAGTAAATACAAATGAACCTATGACATTTAAACGCAGTTCTTATTATTTAGGAAACGTCATTTGAAATTTTATTATTTTTGAAAATAATTAAGTTAACAAATTTTATTGACACCAAACTCGTATTATTATATTTATTTGTAATACGAACACAACTTTTAACTGTATCCATTTTAATAAGTTGTCATTCATTATTTATTTTTTAAATCATTGCTGATTCAGATATATTTGAAAACATTCGGACATGTAATTCCTTCAGTTTTTATAACGAAGAAAAATTCTTTACTAACACCGAATAACTATCGATTATTTTTAAAATAGTCATCTCATATGAAATTAAAAATAAGAAATTTAACAAAACTAGTACAAAGCAACTAACATTTCAACAGAATAAAATATATCGATTTCAAATGTACGACTTATACCTTGGTCATATATAATTATTAGAAAATTAACAATTATGTACATTAAAAGAAAAATAATTATAATGCCGTAATATTACATCGAATAATTCATTGTTTAAACATTATATAATATTATATATATTTTTAGTCTAAACAATTATACAGTTTATCTCCATACATATACGATTATCTATAACTGTAGAAATATCAACTATTCATTTTATACCTTTTGGTTTTTGCCTTCGAGTAACCTAATTTCAGATTTCACTGAGATATATTTTTAAGTAGGTAAACATAAAATATAATAAACAAAAAAAACCGATTTTCTACAATAGTATCGTTACACTAGGAAATATAAATATTCAAGAACACAATATAGATGAACTGAATATTTAGATATTTAATTACATATTGAAATATGATTGTATTTTTGAAAATAAAAGTTATAATTTCGAAATAATAAAAGTTTTTTGTTAACGGAACAATGTATTTCATTGATGTCAATTTTAATCAATAGGTGATTCTTTTGAAGAATGAACACAAATAAATAATAATAACAAATACGAGTATTATAATTTATTTATTATTAATTAGTTCCTGAATGCGTGTTGAAAATAATGTGTTCGTTTTTCAATACGTGTAATTGTCAACATTTTATTGAACATAGGTATATTTCTAACTACTAAGAACAATACGTTGAAAACACGAATAATCAATATGTAAAGTAACCAAGTAGAAGAATTACGAAACAATATTTTGAAATTCATGAATAGAGTCGACCCATGTCAAAACAATAATGAATAACATACCTACAAATAATAACTGAAGAAAAATCTAAAATCCATTATTCTTTTAGTAACAAAAAATTATGAATATATTCCATTTATTGGAGCCATACGACTATTGCAATATTTAGTGCTTTCTTTATTTCATATGATTAAATTTGAATTTTTTTTTTTAAACAAAAACAAAAATAAATCTATATATGTATAAATAATTCATTAAAAATCGTTAATAATATCTAGTACATCAATATAAAGAAAATATTAAAAATATTATTTGAAGAATAATAGAGAATAAGAAATTGTATACAGTTATTTTTACAATAATTCTTCAGGCATGAAATGTTATACGTTTTGTTGATATCGATATTATTAGATATATTTATTAATATTTTGTTATTTTTTTAATCAACAAACCATTTTTTTTTCATTTATTTTTTTTATAATTATTATGTTTAATACCAATTGAAAATATTGGTACAACAATAGGTAAAAATCTAACTATTATAATATTTTATTGCTCATCAAAAATATTCAATAAAAATGCTAAAATTTAACTACGGATATTTTAACTTAAATATCAACTGAGATCAAATGCCACAATAGACATAGTTGAACTGAAATATGATGACATAACTGTACCGACAGAAAAATAACAAACACACTCACAAATACACTTATAACCACAAAATGAATCGCTCTCTCATTTTGTTTCAGTAATTTAAAATTTTTTTTTATTCTAATACAATGAACAAATGTTTAAAAGGTTAAATGTTCCTAACCTATAATCATTACACTGTTTATTTTGTTAATTGTATGTTTGTATTTTAATTTAGTTTTCAATTATCTTATACATTTTATAAATGTTATAATAAAGTAGTGAAATAAGTGCAAATATACATGTTAAAGAGAAACATTTTAATAAATATTGAAACGGTTGTACGGGTTTTTAAATATGCAACGATAACTAACCACATGTTGAAACGTGTTGATCGATGTGATAGGACTTTGAATAATAAATAATTTAAACATAATTCATTGTTCATTAGTATAAATCAATTTAAAATCATAAAATTAATAATATTTACACATTAAACGGTGCACCACGAGCGGCAATGTGCTTTTGCCATAATCAAATAACCATAAGCTTGGTCCGTCGTAACCATCGGTTAAAATTAACTATTTTTGCTCGCTCTTCATGTCGAGAGATTTATTCCGTTTACACAGACATTGGTCATATGATCGCGTAGCAAGTTATCAGCGTAGCGATCGGAAAACGTCTCTTGTGCGAGAATTTTCAATATTTGCCCGCAACCGAACGTGTCACCTGTTTTACGATCGAACGTGCGCACGAGACGTATACGAACACACGTGGTAAGCATATATATATATATACATGTACGTATATAACTCGGAACGGTTTATTCGGAGTTTGGATTAGCAGCTACGTGTCGAGGCATGAATTCAATTAGTTTATATATTGCATTTCAAAAAGACCCTGTCGATTAACGTCTTCCGGACGAGACCACGAAGCCCTGTTGAACCGGAACTTTTACGTTCGTTATGCACAAACTCCCTCCCCCATCATCCCCTTACCACCGGACATGTACGTGCGCCAATAGCAGCGGGACGGTGGACACATGAACTTCCGGTCGGCGACGGAACACACCCGATGACCGGCTGAACGGTTGATGCGAAAATCATTGCGACAAAAATCGTTTGTTGATGGTTAAATGCGTTAAAATGGTTAAATCCTTGACCAAAATGCGTTTAAAAACGTAAGAACACGTATCGAACCAATGTGGTTTGCCCTTCCCCCCCAACACTAACGCTTAAGGTTGAGTGATGATTGGTGTACCGGAGAAAAATACACGAGCGTTGCGAAAGAACACGTCGAGAAACATTACGAAAAACGAAAAACTATTAGTTCGCATTATGTCGTATTATGTATTAAATTTACGAAGAAACCACCGATGGTGATAACCTTGCCGTTGTGAAGAAATGGGTTCAGGCGTTGGGCGAGGGTGTATCGTATTTCGCTGTATATGTGAACATACGCATTTTACGGGTTTATCT